CCACCCCTCCAACCTTCTCTTGAAAGAGAGAAAGAAGATAGAAAGAAAGAAGAAAGAAAACCAGAGAGATCTCCACCTGAGGCTCAGTCAGAATGCTCCAGGGACCACTTATTAGAGACCCCAATTTTCTGACTGTGGTGCTATCCAGGCCTGTCAGGTAATGTTGGATCCGAGTACACGGTATGGTTGGGGATAAAGAGAACCTGGGTGTATTTCTGGGGGCTCGCATTGACAAGCCAAGGATCCTGTGTGACTGGGTTAGAAGCTGTGTGGCAGGAGAGGTGAGGTTTTCCTTTGGATGGTAACAGGAGTCTGAGGAAGTGGTGGGGGCGTCTGGGCCATCTGAAGCACCTGGTGGGTGCTGAAGGTTGGTGTCAGTGGCAATTTCTTGGAATAACACCATAATGAAGTCTGCTTGACTCTTCCTTCACTTACAGACTTAGAAGCCAGCATATTATTTCTTTCTAAGAATTTATTTATTTTTGGCTACACAGGGTCTTCGTAGCTGCACTCAGTCTTTCTCTAGTTGCAGTGAGTCGGGGGGCGACTCTCTAGTTGTGGTGCTTGGCTTGTCATTGGGGTGGTTTTTCTTGTTGCAGAGCATGGGTTCAGTAATTGTGGCCCATGGGCTTAGTTGCTCCATGGCATGTGGGATCTTCCTGGACAAGGGATTGAACTGGTGCCCCCTGCGGTGGAAGGCAGATTCTTCACTACTGAACCACCAGGGAAGTCCCCTGGGTACTGATTTTATTGCTGCTTCCAGCGGTCTTGGGAAGGAGGCACCACAGCAGAGGGCCAGGAGAAGTCAGGGGATGAGGAGGGGAAACACAGCACACGTTCTAATTGCTTGGAAGTGAAGGAAATGAGACGACAGGCTAATTCTTGGTGGAATTAATAAAGGAAGGTTATCCTGGTTGGAAGAGCTCTGACTCTCTGAGGGGCAGAAAAAGGGACAGGGAACAAGGAGGCGGGATGTGCTGGAGAGATTTCTACACAACTGAGCCCATGGAGACTGTGGGAGTGAACGCTGGATCAGGCATGGGATGCCCTGGAGCCATCTGCATGGGCAGTGCAATGTGTCCTTAGTGAAGAGCCCAGCAGACCTTTTACTCATGAAATCATCTTCTCTCCTTCTCTCCCAGAGGAAGACAGGCAGGTACTTCCAGGCAGGTTGGAGCAGTGACCTGTGGCTCTAGGTGGACGCACTTTGTCAGCAGGGTGCACGTGAATTTATTGAGCTCTTGGATCCCAGGATCCAATACCTCTGGACTTAAAAACAGGCTCACTCTGACTCTCTGTTGAACAATTTCTGTTTCTTCTGCCTGTAAAGAAGGCAATGCAGAAAGCAGTACCAACTGCGAGGCAACATGTTGGTGTCTGATATATAATTTTTATTATAAAATAAAGCAAATTTTACAAATCATTCAAAAGTGGCCTTAGCCAGGCAAAATTAAATTATGCAGAAGTGCTTGCATGAGGGCAGGTGTACACAGTCTGTATCAGGGTGAGAAAACCCTGAAAGAGGTACCTGAGTACAGAGCGCTCCCAGCCACCCCTCTCTGGGGGCCAGTTCCACACAGCAGGAGGTCCGTCATGAAGGTGGAATAAAGCCTTTCTCTCAGCAGCCCAAGGAGGCCCCGTCTGTGCAGAAGGCTGGTGGGAAGCAGGGGCGGCTTTCCTCTTCCCATCCTCCCTTTCTGTGCCGACAATTTGGTCCTGTGCACCCCATGGGAGAAGAATTCCAGAGGCTCTTCAAGAAACCCAGGGCTGAGTCATAATCTGCACCTTGTGTCCTCAGGAGCCTGCGCACCAGTGCGGCCTCCTGGACTGTAAACAATGCTAACAGTGCAAGGGGCCGTGTTCCCTTCAGGGCGCTCCTGCTTCTCAAGGACCAAACACCCCTCAGCAGAGACCAAGGCATCCTGAGAAGGTGAGTGGGGCAGATGGACGGAAGAGCAGGGGGTTGGTGACTGGCCTGGGGCTTCCCAGGTGGTGCTAGTGGTAAAGAACCAGCCTGCCAAGGCAGGAGGCTCAGGTTCGATCCCTGGGTGGGGAAGATCCCCTGGGGAAGTGAATGGCAAAACACTCCGGTATTCTTGCTTGGGAAATCCCATGGACAGAGGAGCCTGGCGGGCTACAGTCAACGGGGTCGAACAGAGTCGGACGTAATTGAGCAACTAAGCAGATGACTGGCCTGAGGTGCCGAGAATGGGAGTGGGATCCATTTCCGGGCATGAATGTAGAAAACTACTGCTTCTCATTTTCTGTGTGGGGCCCCTCACACAGAGGCCTTGGGGAACTCCTGGTCAGAGGGACATGCAGGACTTTGGTGGCTTCTTTCCTCTAAAGCAGTCAGACTGGCTTATGCAGCAAGTTAAACAGAACCCGTTTCACATAAACAAGCAGTTACAAAAATTAAAATGGCAGAATATCTCAGAAGGAAGGGGGATAAAACAATAATCCCAGTTGTACATTCTTTGACCATTATTTAAATAATCTCTAGAGGGTAAATTTCTGAGTCCTTTCCCCAGTCCCAGCAGATTGTATCTGATTGTGAGGCTGCCAGGGCTAACACCATGACAGGCGGCCTGGACCTAAGTTTCAATTTCCCCCGAAATGGTAAGATTCCCCCCGAAACGGTACGATTCCCTACCCCCATCAGGCCACCAGGAGCCAGCCAATCAATAAGCGCCCAGTAAGAAAAAGGGAATCTATTAGGGGAAAGCTGAAAAAGCCCGCGAACGCCCAAGTTTGAAAAAAGCCCGCGAAAGTTTGGACCAATAAAATTGCTTGGCAAACATGTAACCAATCTGCTTAAGCCAGCTACCAACTGCTTATGCTCACCCTATAAATTTGTGTAACAGCTTGGGCTCGGGGCTCTCTGACCCGAGAGATCCACTGCGTTGGATGGGGCAGGAGCCCTGACTCGACTCAGCAATAAACTTCCCTTTTTGCGAGTTGCATTGTCTTGGAAGCCTTCTCTCTTCCTGCTCGGGGATTTGGACATCTGGCATAACACTGATAAGAGCTCATAGATGAAAACAGATTGTATCTGGTTGATGTTGACATCAGCAACCTCAGATATACAGATACCACTCTAATGGCAGAAAGCGAAGAGCAACTAAAGAATCTCTTGATGAGGGTGAAGGAGAGTGAAAGAGCTGGCTTAAAACTAAATATTAAAAAAACTAAGATCATAGCATCTGGCCCCATTACTTCATGGCAGATAGAAGGGGAAAAGGTGGAAGTAGTGACAGATTTCTTCTTCTTGGGCTCTAAAATCACTGCAGATGGTAACTGCAGCCATGAAATCAGAATGAAGGAGGAAACAGAACAGGCTCAATCTTGAAAGCAGGACTCCATCTTGGTCCGGACTGTGGACTTTGAGCTATATGCCCAGTATCTATGGAAACGATATACCAACTGGAAAACCAGGCCCCTGGAAGGAAGAGCCTGAGGGCTCTCCATCGCCTAAAAAACACCCTAATTATCTGTGTGACCGAATAGAATCATACATTCTATTATGCTTATTGGGGTATGACCACAAGCCTATTGATAATTGTCCACTGTTAACTACCTAGGCTTAAGACATATGAATCATGGGTTAACTTTGATTGTATCTTTCTTTTTCCTTTGTTCAGACTAGTTTCAGGGAATTTTGGGGAGGTGGGTTTGGGCACGTACGCTTAGGGTATACAAGGTTTTCACAAGAACTGGTCGGGGTCCTTGGCTAAGAGGAGACTCTGCCTTGGGCCCGCCAGTGTAATAAACTGCACTCCACTATCTGCATTGTCCTTCTGAGTGAGTTTGTTTCCCAGAACTCGTGGTTACAACAGATACAATGATAGAGCAATGAGAATAAATTAAGCACAACAGCATACAATGAGATGGATGACTCTCATGATTTTGAATGAGAGAACCAGACACATTAAGGACGTACTGTGTTTTTCCTGTGTGGATAACCAAGAACAGGCAGACCTATCTCATGCATTGGAAGTGAGGATGCTGGTTACTCTTTGAAGGGAACTAACTGGAGGTCTTCTTTAGAGTAGGAATGACACATTGATTGATTGATTGATTTGGGTGTTGCTAACCTGGATTGTTCAACTCCTGAAAGTTCATAGATTGTTTTAGAAACAGGTTTTTAAAAATTTATTTATTTTTGGCTGCGCAAGGATGGGAATCATGAAATCAGTTCCTGAAAATGTCCAGCTACCCCACCAGATTCCCTGGAGCACAGAGTGCCTCATGCCACCTTGAATTCCCTCAGTGGGTGTTGAAGGTCAACAGCTGCAGTAGCGCAGGGTTCAGTCTCCACAGAAAGTGAAAGTGTTAGTCGTTCAGTCGTGTCCAACTCTTTGTGACCAAATGGACTGCAGCCTGCCAGGCTACTCTGTCTATGGAAGTCTCCAGGCAAGGCGACAAGAGAAGCCACCCCAATGAAAAGCCTGCGCACTGCGATGAAAAGGAGCCCCAGCTACCCACAACTAGAGGAAAACTGTTTGCATGATTCCCATCCTTGCATCTCCTCATCTCGAGAAAAGCACTAAGTCCCGTCATGATGACATTACCTCCTCATGTCTTGCAGAAAGCCTCTTATAAAGTAAGCGCTTAATTGCCTTGAACTCCCCCTTCAACGAAATCTTACATAGTGACCTTCCCCGACTGCCTCTTCGGAGCAGGCTATCAGAGCTATCTGAGGTGCTGCCTCCTGGGCTGCAGTCCTCATTTTGCCCCAAATAAAACGTAACTCGCAGCTCTCAAGTTGTTCACCTTTTTTAGTTGACACCCCTCTAAATCAGATGGGCGTGGGAATAGCCATGTCCAAGGGGGGGGGGTTCAGGAAGCATGAAGACCAGGGAAGAGGAGACCCATAAAAATCAGTGCTGAGAAGTAGGGCTTTAGGAAGACTGAGGAACAGATCAAGGCCAGAGATGGAGACGAAGTCTCCTTCCCTCTCCCAAGCAGGGCAGTCAGTCTCAAAGAAAGTGGAACAAAAGGAAAGGTGGCATACCCTACTGTTTATTTGAAAAACAGAAAATACACCAGGGCTGCTATCAGACCCAAACAAACTGAAGTTACAACCAGGATGCCAACAACAGTACCAGTTGTGAGGTCAAACAGAGAGGCTGTAATGGAAAGAAAAGAAAAGAATGAATGAAAGTGACATTATTTTACAGTGGGAGGTGCTCTACGAAACAGCTGTCAACATTAAGTAGTCTCTACTTGTGCCTTCAAGAAATCGATTTTCTCTGGGACAGCTGTTGTGTGGTGATTAGGTGACTAGATCCTTGTGATTTTCTTTCTCTCTCCATGTATTTCTAGGTTGGTGACCAGAGTTGCCTCAGTTCCAATCTGGCCTTTTCTGCACACATATATTTCTGAAGGCTTTGGAAATGTAAGAAGGACTGATGGTTATTTTTGTATGTTACTATTTCCCCCCTTTTCATGGTTTTGTACGTTATAACTTCCCACCTTTTCCTGGGGCTTCCCTGGTGGCTCAGTTGGTAAAGAATCTGCCTGCAATATAGCAGATATGGGTTTGATCCCTGGGTCGGGAAGATCCCCTGGAGGAGGAAATGGCAACCCACTCTAGTATTTTTGCCTGGAGAATTCTATGGACAGAGGAGCCTGGGGGGCTACAGTCCATGGGATCGCAAAGAGTCGGACACGACTGAGTGACTAACCCACACATCACTTCCCACCTTTTCATGACTGCATCTTTCTCTGGGTACCAGGTGTAACAGCTATAAATATACGCCTCTCAGGTGTCTTGTGGTGGGCATTTATTGATGGAAAGCCCTCTGAATTCACTGCCCCTTTGCACAGAGAACACCCTTCACACTGGCTCCCGGTAAGGATGTTAATTCAATAATTCTATGAGAAATGATAGGGCCTTCCCTGGTGGCTCAGCTGGGAAAGAATGTCCCTACAATGCAGGAGACCCGGGTTTGATTCCTGGGTTGGGAAGACCTGTTGGAGAAGGGATAGGCTATCCACTGCACTATTCTGGCCTGGAGAAGCTCTACACAGTTAGCAAAAACAAGACCAGGAGCTGACTGTGGCTCAGATCATGGACTCCTTATTGTAAAACTCAGACTTAAATTGAAGAAAGTAGTGAAAACCACTAGACCATTCAGGTATGACCTAAATCAAACCCCCTATGATTATACAGAGGAAGTGACAGGGATTAGATCTGATAGACAGAGTACCTGAAGAACTATGGATGGAGGTTCATGACATTGTACAGGAGGCAGTGATCAAGACCATCCCCAAGAAAAAGAAATGCAAAAAGGAAAAATGGTAGCTGAGGAGGCCTTACAAATAGCTGAGAAGAGTAGAGAAGCCAAAGGCAAAGAAGAAAAGGAAAGATATACCCATCTGAATGCAGAGTTCCAAATAATAGCAAGGAGAGATAAGAAAACCTTCCTCAGTGATCACTGCAAAGAAATAGAGGAAAACAATAAAACGGGAAAGATTAGAGATCTCTTCAAGAAAATTAGAAATACCAAGGGCACATTTCATGTAAAGATGGGCACAATAAAGGACAGAAATGTTATGGACCTAACAGAAGCAGAAGATATTAAGAAGAGGTGGCAAGAATAAACAGAAGAACCATACAAAAAAGATCTTCATGACCCAGATAACCGCAATAGTGTGATCACTTACCTAGAGCCAGACATCCTGGAATGCAAAGTCAAATGGGCTTTAGGAAGCATGACTACAAGCAAAGCTAGTGGAGGTGATGGAATTCCAGTTCCCGCAACTTAATTGAACTGATGAGAAATGATCTTCCCCCATGGGTAACTTTAGCTCAAGGACTCCCCATCAGCTTTGCAGACACTCTCTAAAACTGCACTGCAGCCTAAAACTTCCTTCCTTCTCTTTCTCTTTCACTTGGGTCAGATATGCCTTGTGGTCTGAGGACCTTCCCAGGCTCCTCCCACTTCTGCCCCACTTTCCTAAACAGGCACTCTTCCAGTAAATGTCTTGTATGTCTAGTGTCATCTTGGCTGCATCTGAAGGATGAAAAGTATCATATCAGACAAGAAACCTTGCAGTCAAATCCTTTTTTATTCTTCTCCCATATTTAGTCAGTAACATGTTCCTATGAGTCTTTTGTTTTATCCTTTCCCTCCCTTCCAATATGTAATGTTTTTTGCATCACTTTCTCTTTTATTTCTGTTTTCTTCACTAGTCAACTCAAATCTGAAGATGAATGCTGATGTTAGCTATTGTTACGAGGTACTTATTATATGACAGACTCTCTGCTATATACTTTACACATACCACATTTGATTCATATAATAACCCTGCCAGGTCAACATTCAGTTCAGTTCAGTCGCTCAGTAGTGTCCGACTCTTTGCGACCCCATGGTCTGCAGCACACCAGGCTTCCCTGTCCGTCACCAACTCCCAGAACTTGCTCAAACTCATGTCCATTGAGTCGGTGATGCCATCCAACCATCTCATCCTCTGTCGTCCCCTTCTCCTGCCTTCAATCTTTCCCAGCATCAGGGTCTTTTCACATGAGTCAGTTCTTTGCATCAGGTGGCCAAAGTATTGGAGTTTCAGCTTTAGCATCAGTCCTTCCAATGAATACTCAGGACTGATTTCCTTTAGGATTGACTGGTTGGATCTTCTTGCAGTCCAAGGGATTCTCAAGAGTCTTCTCCAACACTACAGTTCAAAACCATCAATTCTTCGGCACTCAGCTTTCTTTAGTCCAACTCCCACATCCATACATGACTGCTGGAAAAACCATAGCTTTGACTAGATGGACCTTTGTTTGTCTCTGTTTTTTAATATGCTGTTTAGGTTGGTCATAGTTTTTCTTCCAAGGAGTAAGCATCTTTTAATTTCATGGCTGCAGTCACCATCTGCAGTGATTTTGGAGCCCAAGAAAATAAAAGTCTGTCACTGTTTCCACTGTTTCCTCATCTATTTGCCATCAAGTGATGGGACCGGATGCCATGATCTTAGTTTGAGTTTTAAGCCAGCTTTTTCATTCTCCTCTTTCACTTTCATCAAGAGGCTCTTTAGTTCCTCTTCACTTTCTGCCATAAGGGTGGTATCATCTGCATATCTGAGGTTATTGATATTTCTCCTGGCAATCTTGATTCCAGCTTATGCTTCATCGAGCCTGGCATTTCACATGATGTACTCTATATATAAGTTAAATAAACAGGGTGACAATATACTGCCTTGACATACTCCTTTCCCAATTTGGAACCAGTCTGTTGTTCCACATCCGGTTCTAACTGTTGCTTCTTGACCTGCATACAGATTTCTCAGGAGGTAGGTAAGGTGGTCTGGTATTCCCAACTCTTAAGAATTTTCCACAGTTTCTTGTGATCCACACAGTCAAAGGCTTTGGTGTGATCAATAAAGCAGAAGTAGATGTTTTTCTGGGATTCTCTTTCTTTTTCTATGATTCAATGGATTTTGGCAATTTGATCTCTGGTTCCTCTGTCTTTTCTAAATCCTGCTTGAACATCTGCAATTTCACAGTTCATCTACTGTTAGCGCCTGGCTTGGAGAATTTTGAGCATTACTTTGCTAGCGTGTGAGATGAGTGCAATTGTATGGTAGAGTGAACATTCTTTGGCATTGCCCTTCTTTGTGATTGGAATGAAAACTGACCTTTTCCAGTCCTGTGGCCACTGCTGAGTTTTCCCAGTTTGCTGGCATATTGAGTGCAGGTCAACATTATTCCACATGATAGATGAAAAACCCGAGACTTCCAGTGATGATAAAAAAAAAAAGGTACCCAAAGTCATATAACTAATAAGAGGTGGATCTAGTGTAGTCCTTGACTGTAGGAATACCTGATTTTATAGAACCCAATGGTAGTAACAGTAATAATAGCATTTAATAGTTATGGAACATGTCCTCAGCGTGTGGCATTTTACTAAGGGTTTAACTGAATAGTACGTTAAATCTTTGAAACAATGACATGAAGCAGAGACTTTTTAGTACGATTTCAGTTGAGGACTCTGAGGCTCAGTGAAGTTAGGAATCTCATGCAAGAATTTATAATTGTAAATGGTTACCTTAAAAAAGAAGAAAGATCTCAAATCAACAACCAAATGTTACAACTGAAGGAACTAGCAAAAGAACAAACCATACCATAAGCTAGCAGAAGGAAAGACAAAATAACAGAGTGGAGATAAATAAAATAGAGAATGGAAAAGTAATAGGGAAAAAACAATAAAACAAGAAATTGGTTCTTCAGAAAAGAATAAGAAAGGCTTCCCTGGTGGCTCAGTGGTAAAGAACTAGTCTGCCAATTCAAGAGACATCGGTTTGACCCTTGATCTGGGAAGATCCCACACGCCGCAGAGCAGCTGAGCCTGTGCTCCACAACTACTAAGCCTGTGCTCTAGAGCCAGAGAGTTGCAGTTACTGAGCCCACGGGCTGCAACTACTGAAGTCCGTAGGCCCTAGAGCCCATTCTCCAGAATAAGAGAAGCCACCGCAATGAGACTCCCGTGCACTGCAACTGGAGAGTAAACCCCACTCACCACAGCTCGAGAAAAGCCAGCACAGCAATGAAGATCCAGCACAGCAAAGAAAATAAATAATTGGGGACAAATGATGAACAATTTTGACAAAACTTTAACTAGACTGATCAAGAAAAACAGGGAAGATTCAGATTACTAAAATCAGGAAGGAAAGTGGGCACATTGCTACTAATTCTCAAGAAATGATGAGTTATAGGAGTATTATGAATAACTGCATGCCAACAAATTGCATAACTTCAGTAAAATGGACAAATTCCTAGAAACACAGATGCTACCAAAGTGGAATCACAAAGACTGCGACCCCATGGACTGTAGCCCGCCAGGCTCCTCTGTCCATGGACTTCTCCAGGCAAGAATACTGGAGTGGATTGCCATGCCCTTCTTCAGGAGAATCTTCCTGACCCAGGGATTGAACCTGTGTCTCTTACATTTCCTGCCTTGGCAGACAGGTTCTTTACTACTCACGCGCTACCTGGGAAGCTCCAGTGTTATAGAGGCCATATATTAAAACCCGCATCTAACACCATTCTAAGTGTGAAAGACTGAAAGTTTTCCCTCTAAGATCAAGAACAAGATAAGGATGCCTGCTTTTGCCACTTCTATTCAAAACAATATTAAAAGAAATAGATAGGACTTCCCTGGTGGCTTAGTGGTAAAGAGTCCACCTGCCAATGCAGGAGACATGGGTTTCACCCCAGTCTGAGAAGATCCCATATTCAATAGAGTAATTAAGTCTATGCGAAAAAGCCCACACAGCTACAAAGACCCAGCCCGGCCAAAAATAAATTTAAAAATTATTTTAAATAATTAATAAAAAAGTGCCCATTGCATTAAGAACCTATACCAGGTATCTCATTTAATTCTAATAAAACTTTGTGAATTACAAAAAATAACATTTAAAAAAAGTAATAGACCAATTCAGTGCCAAAGAAAGAAAAAAGAAAAGATACTGAAATTGTAAATTAAGAAACAAAATTAACTGTTTGCAGAGGATGTGGCCTTATATATTAACAGGAAACCCTAATTTCACAAAAAACTGTTAGGTCTAATAAACAAATTTGATAGAGCTGCAGCATATGAAACCAACACATAAATGCAGTTGTATTTCTATATATGAGCAGTGAACAATATGAAAAGAAAGTTTTAAAACTTCCCTTTATATATTGTATGAATGAGATAAGGCTAACACTCCCTTTGACAAAAATGGCAGAGGCCTTTGGATCTGACAATATTCATACAGTTAAGGTATTGCTACCTGAATCATAGTATCTAACCATCATTTTTATAAAAATAAATTCCACTTATAACAGCATCAATAAGAATAAAATTGAGGAATTTTGGAGCTGACAGACTTGTATAAGAGAAACTAAAAAAAATTTTTTTTTCAAAGGAAAAACATAGTATGAGAAATTAAAGAAGACATGAATAAATGATAAGTGTTCATGGACTGGAAGCCTTAATATTGCTTAGATGACAGTACTAAGCAAGGTGTACTGGATAGATGTGGGTAATGACTGCAAAACAATATGAATGGACTTAATACCACTGGGCTATAAACTTCAAAATTATTTACATGATAAATCTTACTTTTTTTTTTTTACCTTATAAAGAGTGTACCAGGAAAAAAAATCTTGTGTAAGGTAACAGAGTAAATGCCAGCCCCAGGATTAGAAACGTACTGTATTTCTTTTTCTGTGTGTGTGTGTGCATGTTTGTGTGTGTGTGTTAGTCACTCAGTCCGGTCCAACTCTTTGCGACCCCCTGGACTGTAGCCCACCAGGCTCCTCTGTCCATGGAATTCTCTAGGCAAGGATATTGGAGTGGGTAGCCATTCCCTTCTCCAGGGGAATCTTCCCAACTCAGGGATCAAACTTGGATCTCCTACATTGCAGGCAGATTCTTCATCCTCTGAGCCACCAGGGAAGCCCCTCCAACTTTTTTTTCAGAGATAGAGCTATTAAGATCTTGCTGGCTTTTTATTGTAACGGTCTCCTCACTGATATTCCGCCTGCTGTGACCTCAAGCCATCGTGCCTCCCGTTGGTGGAGGCATCCTGCTGGGAAGGTGGAACACAGGATACGCAGTCACTTACATTTCTTCACCTTCAGCTCAAAGATCCCACTTCTGTTGGAAGTGCCTATGTTGAAGATCTCACACTGATACTTCCCGGCATTCTCCTTCTTGATGGGGTCTATGGTGAGTTTCTTCCCGTCCTCGGACAGGAAGATGTTCTTTGCGGCTTTTATATACTGGCCATTGAAGATCCACTTGATGCTGATGTCAGTTTCGTTTGTGTTACAGGTAATGACCACCTTGTTCTCTTTATCTCTGTCCATGGGGTCGCTGACTTGGATGGAGGGCTGCTGCAGCAGGCCTGTGGAGAGAACAGAGGAGGTGACTGAGACGAGGTCAGTGGCCTGGGGCCATGCTCCTTCCTCGGGTGTCTTAGCCACTGCCGGGGCCCAGCGAGCTCTGTAAAGGCGACCCCGAGCAGGACCCTGAGCCTGTGAACAAGGTCGTGGGTCTCTCTTCAAGACAGGATGTGTAAGGAGAAGGCTCCCTTTCCTCCCTCACCCCAACAATACCTGGATGACCCTGACCCGTCCATGAGACATCTCTGTAGTACCTTCTCAACCCGTGTATACAGCATCCTCAGCCTGAAGTGAAATTTTTCCTGTGAACTTTGATGGACCCTTTCCTAGAACTTCCTTTGGTTCTAAAAAGTTTCAGGTCTCATTCGTTATATACCCTTCTGTGTATGTTACGGAAGACAGTTGTGCCACACCTGTGTTTCTGTGGGGCTGAGGGAACTTTACACAAAGCAGGAAAGGCAATTATTTCTTTTTAAAAAATTTATTACTGGCTTTCCCGGAGGCTCAGAGGTAAAAGATCCGCCTGTCAATACAGAAGACATGGGTTCAAGCCCTAGGTCGGGAAGATCCTCTGGAGAAGGGCATGGCAACCCACTCCAGTGTTCTTGCCTGGGAAATCCCATGGACAGAGAAGCCTGCAGGGTTATGGTCCATGGAGTCACAAAGAGTCAGACCTGACTGAGCAACTAAGAAACAACAACAAAATAATTTATTAGGGAATGAGGATGACCATGTCCAGTCTCCCGGTCTAGATATATATAGTGACAGTGACCCTCTGAGCTTGGTACAATCTTGTTGGAAAGATTTCCAACTACAACCACCCCTCATTTTCCATCACTCTGCGTCTGAGACATTAATGTGTTACTCCTATCACAAAATGATGACAGCAGAAGCTCATTCTCCTGGTGACCTGGGGAAAGTGGCTCGTTCTGGAGTCCCACAGAGGCTGCTGCTCCCAGATTTCTGAGTCCTTTACTATCGCCTAGGAGGGCGTGCCTGGCCACAAGCCAGGCTGGGAACAGGGTAGTCAGTCAATTGGGGAAATATCTGTGGAAGGCTTAAGGGCAGGGGGTGGGGGCTTCCCTGATGGCTCAGCTGGTAAAGAGCCTGCCTGCCAATGCAGGAGACATAAAAGATGTGAGTTCGATTCCTGGGTTGGGAAGATTCCCTGGAGAAGGAAACGGCAACCTGCTCTAGTAGAATCCCATGGACAGAAGAGCCTGGCGGGCTACGGTCCATCGGGTCGTGAAGAGTTAGACATGACTGAGCGCACATGTTTGCATCTAAGGGCAGGGAAGCTGTGCAGAGCAGGGCCAGTCCTTGATGGAATGAAGGAGAAAGAAGTGAGACACATGGGAAGAGCAGAAAGTGAGAAATGTCCATTTGCAAGCGACTTCAAATTGGGGGTTTCAAGTGACTTCAAACATCCAGAGGTCCAAGAGCCCCACCACTGCCCAGAAGCAGGCCCCCTGCCCCCCACCCCTGGAAACCCTCCCACGGCAGAGCAGCCCCACAGCCGCGGTGAGACTCGGCTCTCAGTGCACTTTAGGGGCAGGTAGTCAGAGGATAAACATGGCTCCCCTCCCTGGAGAGACAGGCGGCAGGTGTGGCCAGAGCCTCCTAGGACTCTGCATCCAGAGAAACCTTGGCCTCAGGGAGCTGGGAATCATCCGCCCCATTAGCCCTGCCTGGGAGGCCAACACCCACCGGCGGCACGGTTCTCCGTGGTCGCTGGAGCCGGGACCCTGGGACAGGGTCTGGGGAGGGGCTTCCCCGTGGGCCTGAGCTTCTCTGTGAGGATCCCTCAGGCCAGGCCCCTATTGAGTCCTGCAGGGTCTTCCTCAGGGTCATGGTTGCAGGGAGGGACCCAGGGGCCTGGACTGAGAGTTCTCTCCCTTTGCTGAGTCCCTCCCATCAGACCGTCCTTCTTTCTGCACAGTGTCTGCAGGGTCCAGATCCCCTGAATGGAATTCTGACCCTTTGGAGTTTGTCTCCACAGTGTGTGTCCTGCACTAAATCTTCAAACCCCAACACGGCACATAATGTAGAGGGAGATGGAGGCACCATTTGGGTCTGTCAGTCCTGCGAGTGTGAACAGAAGTCACCTCACCCGACACCCTGAGGTCAGAGAGGAAGTACTCACTGTATACTTGGAGATCTCCAGATGCCGAAACGTTTGTTAAATCAGCCTTTACAGTGACCACAGTGTAGGTTCCCGAGTCCCGCTTCTGGACAGACTGGATTATCAGGGAGCCATTGGGTTTTATTGTCTCTCGACCGGTGTTTGCAGGCCCAGGTGTAAATGAATTGTTAAGTATTTGGTAGACGTCAATTGCAGCTGCTCTATCTACCCTGTTCCCTCTGAACCAGCCATAGCCTAGGACAAGTCCTTCTTTTCCGAGGATGTTGAAAACAACGATTGACCCTTCTGCAGCCAGTGGGGGCACCGTGTCAACAGTGAGGCGGGCAGTGGTGGGCGGGGGCCAGAAGGATAAGAGCGCGACTTGGAGGGAAGCGAGAGAAACCAGTTAATATTCTGGCCTGTGTGGGGGATGGGGAAATGGTGCCCTGGGTTCTGAGCAGCTCTCTTCATCCCTCAGCCTTGGGGTGTGTGTGTGTGTGTGTGTGTGTGGTTCAAGGTCAGCAGCATGACCCCGTCACTTCAGCCCCTCTGGGGTCGTTTTTTCCTCTGTTTTCCTAGCTGTCCCCTGGTTCACTCCCTCGCTGCCCTCACACACCTGCTCACACTCAGGTGCTCTTGGGAGATGCCCCCCCCCACCTGCTCTAAAGACCCTCCGTGTTCACTTGCTGACCCTTCCCTGTCTGTTTCCTGCATGACGCCTGTCAGCACCGACAGCACATTCTAGATCTCTCTGCTTGTCTGTCTTCCTCCCCACAGAGTGTAAGCTCCGTGAGAGCAGGGGCTTGTCTGATTTTCTTGTACCCAAATTCCTGGTGAAGGAGCCTCTACAGCCTGGTGTTTGTCCTTTTAGGAGTTGTAGAAAAGGGTGTTGTCTAGTGTCCTGGTGTGTTCTTTCTGGAGTAACACCCAGACATAAATTGTTATTATTGCCATCAGTCTTCAACAGTTATTGCTCAGTGAAGAATAATTTCTTAAATAACTTGTAAAACCTATACCATTTGAGGTCTTCCCGCCCCTCACTGACTCTAGTTCATGGAGAGTCCCCTGGGGCTGAGCCCCCCACCTCCCCTGCTCCCCGCCCTCTGCCCTCAGGCCTGAACAGAAGTCCTCTGTCCCCTCTCAGAGCCCCGTCTCCCTCAGAGACCAGCCAGTCTCTTGTTCTCCAGTCTCTGCCCTCTCCCTGAAAACTGGCCCCTCTCACCTGCCAGGAGGAGCCTGTTCCAGGGGACATGCCTCCTGCTTGCAGGGCCTGACGGGGGCTCCATGGGGCCTGCTGTGTGCTGGCCCCTCTCTCTGTGAGGAGAACTTCCGGTCCAGAAACGCTCACAGGGCCTGCAGTCGCTGTGTGAGCTCTGCTGTCCTTCCCGCTCTGCGCGGGGCCTCCTCCCGGGGCAGGAGCACTTGGCTGGGTCACGTGGCCCGGGGGCGGGGCCTCTGCCCAGGCCCCTCCCACTGCCTCCCCGCTCTTCCTTCCCTCCCTAGTGGCCCCGCCCCCTTCCCCTTCTGTCTGTGTTTCTATTCCCTGAGCTCTGCGGAGGCCTCTGCCTTCTAGAGCAGTGATTCTCCACCTACACACACACCGACACACACACACCTACACACATACACACCTACAACACACCTACACACAGACACACACACACCTACACACTCTTACACTCCTACACACACACACCCCTACACACACACACTCCACACACCTATACACACACACACACCTACACACACCCCTGCACACACACCCCTACACACACACTTGCGTGGACAAGCACAAACCTGGGGTGTCCAGTTCCAGGGTCCCCACTCCTCTGGACCAGATGCACACTCAGCCTCCCCGACTGCCCTCCCTCATCCCCTTCTGGCTTTTCCCTTCAGAGCAGTAGCCTGGCGGGGTAGGCACATCAGGAACTCCTGTCACAGGGACATCATACCCACAATGCATGGGAATCACCTGTGGAGCTTCATGAAGACTGCGAACCCCCAAGTGACACCTTCGAAATGTTTTAGCAGCCGGTCAGGTCATATGCTTGCCCAGCCTGGCTGAGACTTCATAATGTGGGGTGGGGCAGCCTCTCCCCAACTTCAATGCACAGGGAGGGTCTGCAGATCCTGTTAAAATGCAGAGCCCGACTCAGCAGGGGTGGGGTGGACCTGAGAGTCTGCATCTAACAAGCTCTCAGGTGATGCTGACCATACTGGACTGTGGAGCACACTTTCTATAGCAAGGCTGATGGTGACAAGTCAACCGAGAGGCCGACCGCCCCCCCCCCCCCCCCACCAAGTGTCGGCCTCTGCCGTGTTCTGGTCTGGGGTCTGTCAGCATGACACAGAGACCCTGGGATCTCCAAAATTGGTGATAATTTCTGTGGTGACATAGAAACCCAGATGGGTGCCCCAGGTCTTCCCATTGTTCTCAAATATTTGAGAAGGTTAAGGTTATAGATGACTCTGGAAGAGAGAAAGGGGTCAGCTGAGTGATGATGGTGAGGGGACCTGACCTCCACCTTAGAGTGGCACCAGCCTGGCGTCTGTTTTCAGGGACAGAGACCCAGACCCGGCTGTCAGAAGAGCTGCAGTTCGCAGGTGAGAAGAAAAGGTTTCCTGTGTGTCCTGGGAAGAGAGGAACCTGGTGCTGGGGGGTGGGCTGACTGTGGGCTCCCTGGTCCTCGGAGGAAGTGTTTGGGGAAACCCTCCTGCTTTGTGTCTTGGCTCATAAACTGTCCACGTTCCTCCCTGCCATTAGAGGTAGCCCTGTCAGCCTGGCTGATTTTCCTGTGGTCACTGTGACCTTTCCCATGGGTGGGGGTGCCAGGCAGGGATGGGCGCTGGCATGGCAGGGTGTCCTTAGGCCCCTAGAAGGAGCGTGGGGCACAGAGCAGGCACAACAGGAGGGGCCCCGAGGGTCTGTTTAGAGGGAAGGATGGATTTCAGGCTCCTTCTCCACCTCCTTCAGTTCAGTTCAGTCACTCAGTCATGTCCGACTCTGCGACCCCATGGACTGCAGCACACCAGGCCTCCCTGTCCATTGCCAACTCCCAGAGTTTACTCAAACTCATGTCCATTGAGTTGGTGAAGCCATCCAACCATCTCATCCTCTGTTGTCCCCTTTTCTTCCTGCCCTCAATCTTTCCCAGCATCAGGGTCTTTTCACATGAGTCAGTTCTTCGCATCGGGTGGCCAAAGTATTGGAGTTTCAGCTTCAGCATCAGTCCTTCCAATGAATATTCAGGACTGATTTCCTTTAGGATGGACTGGTTGAATCTCCTTGCGATCCAAGGGACTCAAGAGTCTTCTCCAACACCACAGTTTGAAAATATCAATTCTTCAGTGCTCAGCTTTCTTTATAGTCCAGCTCTCACATCCATACATGACTACTGGAAACACCATAACTTTGATGGACCTTTGTTGGCAAAGTAGTGTCTCTGCCTCCTTAGCCAACGTGAAGTTCACCTGTTAATTTCTTGTATGTTCTCTGTCTGACCCGATGTCACCCCCTGGAGGTCATGAGCAGACCTGGGGCCAGTGTCCAGATGTACCAGGTGTGCAGACCAGGCTCCAAAGGGTGTGAGCCAGCCCTGAGCCCCGGGCAGAGGTGGGCTCTGACCCCCAGCCTGGGGCTGGTCAGCCGGGGTCCTGGTCACTGTGGGTCCCCAGGCTTCCTGACTCCATCCCAGCGCAGGCTGAGCTCAGGGAGATGATGGGCATTATCCAGTGTGAGGAGAACCGTCCACCAGGTGGACGTGCTCAGGAGGAGCTCTCAGTCCCTGAGACTTCAAAGGAAGGGCTGGTGGGGGAGTCTCTGGGGCTATGGGGAGAGGGTGGCGGCCTGTGGGCTGGACCCCAGAAGGCCCTGTTCTTGCCCCTCTCACAGCACTGCGGCTGCCCTCAAGTCGTCTGTGTCCCCATCAGTGGTCTGTTCTTGGCCTCCCCACGGTGCCAGGACCTGGGGCAGCTTCACCTGGAGACTCCGTCACACAGGCTCCCCTGTCAGGGGATGGGAGACCCTCCTGGGACCCCAGCCTCTCTGAGATGGAGCAACTGCAGAAGCTGGGCTCCCCTCTTCATTGCTGCTCCGGAAGTTCCCCAACTTTCCCCAGATGCCTGGGGAGGCTGAGATGTCTTCAGGGTCCAGACCCAGGTGTCCCCACAGATCAGGGGCCTTGTGATGAGGAGCTGCTCTCTTTTTCCTATGAGTTCACGCTCACTGGAGGCTCCCCCCTCCCCAGGGTGACTCCTGATGGGATGGAAGATTGGGAGTCTGAGCCAGGTCAGGTCTCCATGAGAAGGGGAAGGTCTCAAGCTGCTAGCCCAGGCCTTCCAGGGGGACTACAAGATTCTTCCCCAGTAGAGATGGGAGGGGGTATGATTATCTCAGAATGAGCAAGAGTCTGACTCCTCACAGTTAAGAGGACCCTGTCCTCCCTGGGTCAGGAAGATTCCCTGGAGAAGGAAATGGCAACCCACACCAATATTCTTACCTGGAGAATCCCATGGACAGAGGAGCCTGGCAGGCTCCAGTCCATAGGGTCACAGAGAGTTGGACATGACTGAAGCGACTTAGCACTTAGCATGTCCTCTCTCCTGATTCCTGGAGGAATCAAGTCCTGTCATGGAGCAGCAGCCGTAGACACTTGCAGATCTCCTCCCAGGCTGATGCCAGTGCCCCTGTGTCCCCAGGAAATATTCTCTGACCTTTAGGTGTCACACTAGGGGCGGACCATTGTGTGGTATCCCTCATCCATTTTATGAGTTTTTATTGATCATCTATTACTGAGTGCACACATGCTTTTGAATATCTTGTCTGGCTTCCATTTCATTATTCCAGAGCAGAACCTTCTGTTCAGAGCTCCCCGTGGTCTCAAGTAAGTAACTGTTAGTTGCTCAGTTGTGCCTGACTCTTGGCAACCCCATTGACTACAGCCCACCAGGCTCCTCTGTCCATGGGATTCTCCAGCCAAGAATACTAGAGTGGGTTGTCATTTCCTTCTCCAGAGGATCTTCCCAATTCGGGGATTGAAACCAAGTTTCCTGCATTGCAGGCAGATTCTTTACCATCTGAGCCACCAGGGTCTTAATGTGGAAGTCCCTAGCCCTGGCTCCGCCCCCAGGTCTCCCAGTTGGCTCTCAAAGAAGAGTGAGTCCTCATTATCACTCTGCCTCCCATCCCTGAGTTGCCCGAGGTCTCACACAGCCTCCCTGGCACAACAGTCTGGGTGCTGGGTGCTCTTGAAGCCGAGTCGACCACAACCCAGAGCTTCAGCTGATTCTTCTAGTACTGGGGAGAAGGTCCAGATGACGGCATCAGGCAGTTTGTAGGAACTTGCCTCCAAGGCTTGACGACCACCACTTGAGGGAACTGGTGGGTTCCTCCCAGTGGAATCTTGGCAGGGGGTGCAGATCAGGTGCTTGGGGTGTTCGGGTGCCCATGAGACCTGAGGGTAGAATCACTGCCTTCCAGTAGGATTAAGCTTCAGGAGTTTCCGATGTCCCTGGACAAGGCTGGAGGTGAAGCCTGTGGTTCTGGTGATGTTTTAGACTGAGCGACTAAAAGAGCCAGAGACCGCCCTGGGCAACCGCAGGGCCCTGCATCCAGTAATTAGCCTCCCAGTGAATTCAGGGGCTTCGTGGCTGAAAGCCAACTCAGGGGAACAGGTGGGGGTGGCTTCTCTGTTGTCCTGAGGACCTCAGGTCAACCCGAGCCTCAGCTTATCCTGCCGCTGGTCACAGGCAGTTGGCTCTGGGAGACGGCCCAGGAGCAACCTCCAATTTTTTATTTGACTTTAAATGGAAATGAAAGTGAAAAGTGAAAATGTTAGTCAGTCAGTCGTGTCCAACTCTTTGCCACGCTATGGTCTGTAGCCCACCAGGCTCCTCTGTCCATGCGTTTCTCCAGGCAAGAATACTGGAGTGGGTTGCCATTCCCTTCTCCAGGGGATTTCCCTGACCCAGGAATCAAACCCACATCGCTTACATCTCTTGCATTCACAAGCAGGTTCTTTACCACTAGTGCAACAGGCAGCCATAAATTAACCCCCCCCCAAATATGCCTCCTGAACCCGAATGTGCCCTTTGCCCAAGGTCAGCCCATCTCAACTTCCCAGGGTCCTCTTTGCGCCGCGTCTAGCACGATCCGTCCACTAGAGGGCACTCACGCTCCTCTTTGCCATCACCTGAGCCCAATGCCCGTGTGTTCACTGCCACACCCATCAGCCTTCAATCCCTCTCTAGGTTTGCTCCGGACGAAGCTCCTGGAGCAGACATCAGGGTCCTCCAAGAAGAATCTCACGTGGAGGAGGTGGCAGGATGGACGGCTGACCTGGAACCCACTGCAGGACCCAAGTCACTGCTGAGGGGGACAGCTCCAGGCACAGTGGGCAGTGTGGGCTGGACACGGGTGCCCAGACACCTAGGCCACCGGCGCGGGCACTGGGGGAAACATTCTCAACTTCCCAGGGTCCTCTTTGCGCCTCTTCTAGCACGATCAGTCCACTAGAGGGCACTCACGCTCCTCTTTGCCATCACCTGAGCCCAGAGCCCGTGTGTTCACTGCCACACCCATCAGCCCTCAATCGCTCTCTAGGTTTGCTCGGGGCGAAGCTCCTGGGACAGATATCAGGGTCCTCCAGGAAGAACCTCACATGGAGGAGGTGGCACGATGGACGGCTGACCTGGAACCCACCGCAGGACCCAAGTCACTGCTGCGGGGGACGGCTCCAGGCACAGTGGGCAGTGTGGGCTGGACACGGGTGCCCAGACACCTAGGCCACCGGCGCGGGCACTGGGGGAAACAGCTGTGAGCCTGCGGCCCCGTCACTGAGGATCTGTGCATGTGGCCTTGGCTGGGCTGCTGAGGAAGCTTCCAGAATGGACCCCCCACAGCAGGAGACGAGTCCTCCCGGGCACTTCAGGAGCCCCGTGCCAGGAAGAGTCAGGGGAGATGCATCCATCACTGCGGTACAGGTTCTCCTGGGGCCTGAGGGAGCAGGTGGGGTCCCA